GAGGTTTCCAATGATGGGCCTGGGAGCTGATCAGTCCTGAGACGCACAGGGACTGAACCCGGTGGTAGATGGCCAACGGGAGGCCCTCAGGCAGAGTGGCCCTGGGACATACTGTGGGGATATCATCTCTGGCTAAACACCACCACCCACAGCTCTAAAGCTGGTGTCTGGCCTAGGACAGCAGGTTCTATAGGGCACGGCCTCTGGACACTGAGCCCTGCCTGGCCAGCGCTGCCACTTCCCAATGCCCATGCCCACCCACCCTCCTGGCCTCAATAGCCAACAGGGTGGCAGAGCAGCAGGAAGGCCAGGCAGAGGGAAGGCTGGGCCTCGGGAGAGTACAAGTGCTGGTCTATTTTAAAACCCCATCTCAAAAGGAATTCTGAAGCACTCAAATGCTTCAGATATTCTTAGCCTCGCTGCCTGAGAGCACCATGTATTGCCAGCCTTTCAAAGCAAACTCCACGCTTGTATTGACACCAGGCTGTTCACGTCACTTTGACACACAAATCACACTACCTAAGTAGCAACAGACCCAGAAAGGCTTCATAAAACGCTGTAAACCTGAGGACGTTGACACTTTAAAAAAAGTGCTACCGAAATACTCTGAAATGGTTGCAATTAAGCTACTGTAGATGCAAGCGGAGCAGTACATATATTAGGGAGACAGACGTGTTAGCACAATCTGCCAGAGAACGTCTCCTCTCCGAGGGCCCAGAGGAGGGGTGGCAGCAGGGCACCACCCTCCCAAGGGGATGCCAGGAGGCTCTCTGAGCTCCCAGCCTAGGGGCAAGAGGCCACCTCACCTGCCCCCCACCCCAAGCTGGTGTCCATGTTGGCCCCATGACAGAGCATGACCAGGATTAACTCCCACAGGGATGGCACCGGTTACACACAATGGAAACCTCAGCGCACTGGGGCTCTAACAGGCTGAGAGGTTACTGTGGTCCCAGCATACCGGTGTCCTGATAGTTACCCAGGCCCTCTCTGTGCCAGGCCCCTATTGGGAGCTGGGTACAAAAGGAAGACTGAGGGCCCTCCCTCACAGGGCCCATGGTCTGGTGGGGAGATGCTTATGCCAACATCCCCACCTTGATCCTAAGGAGATACAGAGTTGAACGGGTGCCCATCATGACGACTGGGCTGAGCTGACCAGGCATGGAGCAGGGAGCTTGGCAGGGGAGGGAGGCAGAGGCCTCTACAGCTGGACACTACACAGCCACACTTTGAGAAGCCCCTTTCCACTGGCCACACTCGGTCAGCGTGAGAGACCCCCACATTCAATCCCACCCCTCTTCAGTCCCAGAAACCAAGATCAAGGTCAAGGTATCTTTTGGAACATTCTTCCCATCAGAAGACACGCTGCTGTGTTCAATGCTGGCTCTGCTGATGGCCGCTGCTCTCAGGAATGGGGCTGAGGGAAAGGGTGGAGGTGGGTGGTGGGTGGACACAAGGGCCACCTTAAGCAAACCAGGATGCAGCATGAAACAGCAGGGGGGCTGTCCTCAGCGGTTGTGGCCTGGAGAGCACCGAGTGCTGGCGACAGGAGGTGAGCATGCAGAGCCAAGTATCTGTCCTGCTGCCCCACGCAGCAAGGGGGCTGCTGTGCCCTCAGATTCCCAGAGTCTCCTCCCATGGACAGTTCTCAGGGACTTTGCACTGCATTGTCTCATGCTTCACCTCACTCAAAGCCAGTCCCACCACTTTCCCACTACCCTCTATCCCTGCCACTTTCTGTGGCCCTCACCTTCTCATGACCAGTTGGCCTCCTTCCCAGGCTCTCTGATGCCACTTCTTGTGCCAACCTCCCTGAAACTAGCACTTTTCCTGGGCATCCTCACTGCCTACTACAGGGCCTCGTGCCCCCAGAACACACTTTTGCCCCAGGGTCACATCTGAGAGCGCAACCTGCCCTCAGCCAGCACGTGCCAAGACTCAGCATTGGCTTCTTTCTGTCTCTCTCTTTTTGTTTTAAGGAAAAGATGGGTTTTCTTCCCTTAAGGTCCTTCTAGCTGGCAGATCCCAACCAAAACTGGGGCATTCTAGCAAGGCTAAGCAGATCGGAGGCAGTGTTTCTATGGCCCATCCACCTGCCAGGCACCTCCTATTGTGGCTCCCAAGGGGACTGGGATGATAACTGCCCAGTGCATTCTAAAAAGGTGGAGTCTAAAAAGGATAAAAAGAACCTTAGGAAATTTCCACTGAGGTGCAGGAAGCCAACAGTCCATGGGGAAGGGAAGGGCGCCATCTAGTGGCCCTCAGGGGAGCTGCACCTGACTGAACTGGGCAGCAGAGGGCAGTTAACTCAGATACAGGGCCAAGTCATTACCATCCAGGCTAGCTATCAGGCCCAGCACACACACACACACACACACACACACACACACACACAAGAACACTTCACATACAGAAACACACACATGCATAAACACACATATACATACACTAATAGATACTCCCATACACACACATGCATTCATACACATATACATACATATACTCACACACATACAAGCACATACATATACACTCACACAGACACTCACAAGTATTTTCACACTCACATGCAAACACAAACCCAGCCTGTGGATCTGCATGGGGAGTCAGAAGGCTACCTGTGGGCACTCAGCCTGTCCAGCCCACAGAGCATGGCACGCAGAGCCCCCGGGGAGGAGCAGAGCCTCTCTCCCCACTCACCCTACAAGCTGTGTTCCCGGGCCCCACCCTCCTGGCCTGAAGGTGTGGACTTGGGGCAGAGTGGGGAGTCACAGCCTAGCCTTGCCATGGAGAGAGAAGACAGGGTGGCTCTGCCGCCACTGGGACCTCCTGGCCAGCACTGGGACAGTGCCACTGACCAGAAAACACTTGTGCCCGAGTGCTCAGAATCAGGCTCGTGGGCGTGAGATTCCAGCCTTCATGAAAAGGGCATCACCAACTCGTCAGTCTCTCTCCAAATTTATCCCCAAAAGGCAAATACCTCCCCTCCTGGAGGTTTCGATAATCAAGGGTTAATGCAAAGCCACAGAATGCCACCAAAGGAGAGAAGTGGACTAAAAACAAGAGGCTCATGGAACTGTAACAGGAGCCCCCCAAAATACTCAAAGTAGCAGTTCAAAGGCCAGAGGGCCCAGGGTTGACAGGATAATGGCCCCAAAGACACCCCAGTCCTAGTCTTGGGACATGTGGACATGGCACCTCATACTGCAAGACTTTTCAGATAGATTAAGGACCCTGGAATGGAGATGACCCTGGATTCCCCAGAGGCACGAGCCCAGTGTCATCATGGGTCATTGTAAGAGGGAGGCAGGAGGGTCAGAGTCAGAGACAGAAGAGGCTGTGCTGCTGGCTATGAGGCTGGAGGCAGGGCCACGAGCCAGGGATGTGGTGCCTCTAGAAGCTGGGAAAGTCTGGATTCTCCCCTGGAGCTTCTAGAAGAAACAGCCCAGCCCACACCTGGGTATTAGCTCTGTGAGACTCCTGACCTCCAGAACGTGACAGAATAAAAGCATGTGGGTTAAGGCTGTGATCATTTGTTACAGTAGCCCTGGGACACATACATAATCCCCCGCCATTTCTGTGTACCATTCTTCCCCATCCTTCCCTGCCTGTCTGAGCAGAAACTGCGTGGTTTTCATGAGAGGTGAGGAGGGCATGGTCACACACCAAGGGCAGAACAGGGAGGCCTGGCTTCCCACCCACAATCTCTTGGCTTCTGGGCACTCTTCTCAGAGCTCCCGTTCCCACGTCCCTCAGCAAAGGACTCCAGGAGGTCCAAGTGACTTAAAGGGGATGAGGTGCCTATGGGTACAGGCCTAGCCAAGGTAAGGGGTGCCTTGGCCAGGGTCTGCCTATGTTCATAGCTGTGCTGCGTCCTCCTGCCCCTGCCTCCACTGCCCCCAGCTTACTTGGCTGAGGTCCTGAGTGCCACAATCCGCTCCAGGTCTCCTATTTCCCCTCCCACCTCTCTGAGCTTCGCTGATTATTGTGACAACAGAACCTTCTAAGACAGCTGGGGATAAGCAGGGAGATGCAATGTCCTAGCTCAGAAGTCTCTAGCAGAAACAACAGTGAACAGACAGAAGTCTGTTGCCTCCCGGCCTGCCAGCAGACTCTGGATGTAAGGCAGTGGTTCTCAACCTGTGGGTCATGACCCCTTTGGGGGTTGAACGACCGTTTCACAGGGGTCGCCTAAGACCATTAGAAAACACATATTTCCAATGGCAATTCATAATTACAACAGCAAAATTACAGTTATGAAGTAGCAACAAAAATAATTTTATGGTTGGGCATCACCACAACATGAGGAACTATATTAAAGGGTCGCAGAATTAGGAGAGTTGAGAACCACTGAATTGTAAGGTGAGTATTCAGCTCAGATTCCAGAACATAGAACACACTGGATATAGAACCCAGCCGGCAGGACCCAGCACTCACGGAGTGGCTTTTCGGGCCAGCTCGCTGACCCCTGTCCAACACCTGCAAACCAGTGGGGACTCCAAGGCAGGGGCCAACACCCCTCAACCCAAAGACCGAGAGAAAGGTGAGGGGAGGCTCAGTGCATAAGACCACCCAGTCCCCAGGCCTGCAGCCCAGGAGAGCCCCCAGTACAACAGCCACATGTCTTCCTCGGCCCAGGGAGGCACCGAGGGAGCACAGCACCTGCCGATGTTCAGTGGGAGGCTCTAGGTTCAAACCCCACACTCCACAAATCAGGAAACTCATTTCTGAGGGGGACATATCCCTCATCCCCAAATGGTGGGTAAACTCAGGCTGCCCCGAAGCCAGTGGGGGCAGTGCCAGTAGATCTTGAGCGACCAGAGCTCCAACCCTGGCCCACTCTGCCTGATAGCCCTGAGCACAGGGAGCCACCTAGAAGGTATCCCCAGGCCTGCCTGTCCCCAGAGGAACCTATTCACCTGCCCTCCCCCTGCCCTTGACCCTGCAGGCGGCAAAGACCCTCCCCCCTGTGAAGCAGGTCAGGCTGCTGGCTGGACACTCACCATGACTTGGGCTCTCCAAAGTGCAGGTAGTTGATGCTGTACAGGTCCATGTCCTCCGTGTGCCAGGCGAAGGTGGTCTTCCACATGCCGAAGTACAGGTAGGGGGTATTGACTCCCTCAATGATGGTGCCACACTCGCGTTCCACCATGTCCAGGATGGTGCGAAGGTTCCCAATGTTCCACTGGGCCACATCCTGCAGGGCAGTGAGCACACAGTCAGTGGGTCGGCCATCCCTGGGGCACCCAGGCCCCGCCAGCCCCAGACACTGGTGGGAGAACAGGGAGTGTCCTTCCCTCTGAGACCCCAGCTGCAGTCTGACCCCCATGAGGGCCCAAGAGCCCAGCTGTCAGCTCCAAACCTGCCCACATCAGAGCCTCGCCCACCCCAGTATCCAAAACCCATCCTGGGCTGCCAGACCCTGCAGATGCCAACTGACTGCCCTGTGCCATGTAGCTGGGCACAGCTTTCTCTGGATTCCACATTCAGCTATGTGTTAATCTTGGCAGTAAAGACCACAGTTTGGTCATGAGTAACTAATGTGCCTCAAAGTCAAATGACAGAAGGGGAAAGACAATTGCCGACTGGGGCTAGACCAGCTAAGGTGCCAGACAGCCCTTCTGGAATCTCCCCATGGAGGAGATAGAGACGGTTCTCAGAACCAAACAAACAAGGCCGGAATCCTCTCCTACCAGTCCCAGCTATTCCTAATGCCACAAAAGACATTGTGTCTTGTCATAAAACCTCACAAAATAGGCTTTAACCAACTTCCATTCCCTAGAGAACTCTTCAAGCCTGTTGAGATGCTCACTGAACATCAACATCCCTCCCATTCCAATCCAGCCTGTACCACTCACTCCTGTCCACATTATTGGCCCTTGATATGGCCAGACCAGTGGCTGGTCTTTGCAAGGTAATTCCTGGCAGAAGCCTAGAACATGGGGTGGGGGCAGTGACCAGACTCCTCAGTATAAGAAAGAAAAACCCAGCCCTGGCCAGTTAGGCTCAACGGTTAGAGCGTCAGCCCGCAGACCAATGAGTCTCAGGTTCGATTCCAGTCAAGGGCACATACCTCACTTGTGGTTCGTCCCGGGCCCTGGTCGGGATCTTGCAGGAGGCAACCAGTCAATGTGTCCCTTTCACATTGATGTTTCTCTCTCTCTCTCTCCCTCCTTCCCACTCTATCTAAGATAAGTGGAAAAATATTCTCAGGAGGATTTAAAAAAATAGAAGAAAAGAAAGAAAAACCCAAGGTTGCTTTGAATAAAAACTGCCCAAGGTAAGGGCACATCAAAAACAGGTCATTTCCCTAAAGTCCTGCCAATTAACCTCACTGTCCAGCCCACATACATCCACAATGTGACCATAGGTGGGGTACCTGGGGTCTAGTCTAAGTCAGGCAATACCCCATCATGTGACCAGGGCAAGTCATTTCTCTACTCTGAGCCTAAGTTTCCTCGTCTGTGAAAGGAGCCTGTTGTACTAGGTCAGGCACGGGAAACTCGGGGCCTCACATCTCCTTCAGGAACCTATGGCAGACACTGCTCACGATCTCAGCATTGGCCCCACTGAGGCTCAGTGGGCAACAGAGTCCTTCATGGGCCATCACTACAACCAATGGCAGGCAGCACACAAGAGCAAACCCAGAGGTTCTCACTGGACAAGGCTCTAATTCTTAAATTTTTATTTGAAAATAATAATGCAGGGTCTTCAGGAGAATGAGAAGGCAAGCCACAGAGTAGGAGAAATTTTTTGCAAAAGGTATTATCTGATAAAGGACAGTTTTCTAAAATACACAAAGAACTCTTAAAGCTCAATAAAAAGAAAGCAAACAATCCACTTAAAAATGAGCCAAAGACCTGAACCTCACCAAGGATACACTGATGACAAGCACATGAAAAGGTGCTCCACATCATATGTCATCAGGAAAATGCACAGTAAAACCACAATGAGTGCCCTGGACAGTTTGCTCAGTGGTTAGAGTATCAGCCCACAGACCAGAAGGTCACAGGTTCGATTGCGGTCAAGGGCACATACCTTGGTTTCAGTTCAGTTCCCAGCTCTGGTCAGGGTTGTATGGGGAGCAACCAATCAATGTGTCTCTCTCACATCAATGTTTATCTCTCTTTCTCTCTCTCTCACCCTATTGGAGAATAAATGGAAAAATATCCTCAGGTGAGGATTAAAAAAACACACACAACAATGAACTACCATTACACACCTATGAGAATGGCCAAAATCTGGACCACTGACAACACCAAATGCTGGTGAGGATATGGAGCAACAGGAACGCTCTCTTATTGCTGGCAGAATGCAACGGTGCGGCCACTCTAGGCAAAATGAAATGCTGGCCAACAATTCATGTGGGCACCCATGCAGCAGTCCTGTTTTTTCTGAAACCTTTTGGGAGTCACAAGACCCACCTGTTCTAATGAGCTCCTCTCTGGGTGTTTGGGAGGGTCCCCACCCTTCCCAGGAGGGGGTGCTATTCCCACCCAACTCCAGCCCCACCTAACATCAGGACTCAGGTGGCGCCCACCAGTTGCTCTTATGCTGAGCACGGGCTGAGTGGATGAAAGAGAGTGTCCCAGTAAGAGTTGACCTTCAGAGTGACAACATGGGGTGAGGGACATGGGGACAGACAGGGCCACCCCAGGAAGTGAAAAGGTCAGATTTTAGCCCAGGGTACCCTATGCAGAATACCCCCAGGAGAGAACTGGCTCTCTCTGAAATTAATAAATCTGAAATTAACCTCAGGACATCCATCCCAGGGTTATCTGAGGTCCCATAAATATTAATAAACTGTCCCCGAAAAAATAAGGGTCCCGCTCAAACCTCCCTCTGTTTAACACCAGCACCTCTAGGCCTCTGCATCACTGCCATCAGCATCTGGTCTATGTCCTTGAACAAGCCAAGGCCAGGCCTCCTCTGTTACCTGGGTATCCCCAGAGCCCCCTAGCCCAGTCCAGACACAGGTGAAGCCAGTTGCAGCCTGGCCAGCTAAAAACTTGGGGCTTCCCGGATTCCAAGGGTGGTAAATCGGGACAGACAGGCTCTATGACTCGGTAGGCAAGATTCTGCAAGTCAGAAAAATCACAGGATCCCTTCTTGACTCATTCTAAGATTAGGCATATAGTCATCACTGGAGCCCAAACAGAAAGCCCAGCTAAGCTTCTGTATCTTTTTTTTTTTTTTTTTTACCCTCATCCAAGGACATTTTCTCATCTTTTTGTTCAGGTAGAGTGGGAGGGAGAGAGAGGAACAGAGAGAGAAATATCGATGTGAAAGGAACACATCGAGTGGCTGCCACCCACACGACCGACCAGGGCCGGGGACAAACTGCAACAGAGGTCCGCGCCCTTAGCGGGAACTGAACCCGGGTCTCTCTGGACCACAGGCTGTATCATTTTAACTTCCATTTCCAATTCTATTCCCATTCACACTCCTTCACCTCTGCCATGTAAACTGAGTCCCTCACTTTCCCAGAACCTCTTGGCCTCGGGAACTTACATCATCATACAAGGAGCCGCTGATGTCAGCCCCGTAGATGGGAGAGACAAAGGTGAGGTTCTTCCAGTACTTGCGTTCCAGGTCATCGAAGTCCTGGTGCCGGGGAGTGCAGTATCTGTAAGCAAACATCACACCAAAAATGGGGGGCTCAGAGCATGTGCCTGATGCTCACAGCTGAGCCAGGTCCAGGGCATCTGCTGGAGACAATGAGGGAGGGGCTCTGCTCAGATGACCCATTGTCCCCACCACAGGGCCCAACCCAGAGAACACAAATATGGTTCCATTGCTGCTGGGAGAGCATTTATCCTGGAGGGTGTGTACAGGACCAGCAGGCGGCCCTGCCTGGAAAAATGCCCACCCATCCCATCTCATCAGCTAGCCGGGCCTGTGGCATCCAATCACAACGCACATCAGGGGCAGCGAGAGCAGGTGATGGGTGCAGGCTCTGGCAGCTCTCATCATCCCGCTGCTCAGCACATATGAGAGCACTGATTATGGGCCAGACACTGTCCTGGGCGCCAGGGCCAGTGCATGAGCAGGCAGACAACACCCTGCCTTCATAGTACATTTATGTTTGAGAGAAAGACACTTCTGGAAATGCACAAATGATTTCAGAGAACCAGGGAGCTAGGAGTACAGAGAACAGGGAGAAGAAAATAGCAGTAGTGTGCTGTGAGTGCACCAGGTATGCACTGTGAATGGTCACGAGTGCACACATGAGTACAAAGAACGTGCATGAGTGTGCCCATGTGTGCACCACGTTGAACCAGGAAGCAGCAAATGGGAATGTGTGTCAGAGAGCACCTGTGCAGAGGCACTATCAGAGCCGAGACATTATGGAAGGGTGTAGGGGACACACTGCAGGGACAGGGGATAAAAGCGAAACCCCAGGGGGCAGCCCTCAGTAGTAAGTGTTGAGGGCCGTGTGAGGTGAACAGGTGGCCATGGGCTGGTGAGGGTCTGGATTTCACCCTCTTTGAACTGGGGGGGGGCTCTGAGCATGAGGTGCTAAGATCCACCCAGTACACCCAGGACAGATAGTATGTGCTTTGTGGGAGGCTGCATGTGCCCTACCATCTCTGCACCTCCAGAACCCTTGGTGGACAGGGCTTTGCAGATCAGGAGATGTGGAGGCCTTTAAGGTGTGGTTCCACCCCCAGGGTTTCAGGGGGCCTGCCCTACACCCGCCAGGTCCCAGCTGCATACTTCTCACTGTTGGCCAGGCGGCGGTACTCTCCAACCGTCATGGCCTTCTTCTGGATGTTGTACTGCGTGAAGAGGCCTGACTGGCCTGTCACCACCTGCTGGATGGGGGCTGGGATGACCACGTCATCGATGTCGTCATACGTCTGCCGTGGCTTCCACTCCTTCGGGGGGATGATCTGTGAGACCGAGGAGGATGTCAGTGGCGCCTCTACACAGACACATCCACTCAGGACAGGGAACAAGCAGAGGACACACTGCCCACTCTTGGGAGACCAGCAGCCATTACCTGAGAAGCATACCTGGGACTGCCCCATGGGGGCACCAGGAATCACCTGTGCCTTTATCGAGCACCCAATCGATCTGGTGCCAGCAACGTGGGCACCACCAGTTACATTTGAAGTTCTTTTATTTATTTTTTATTATTTTTATTTTTTATCCTCACCTGAGGACATTCTTTCATTTTTTGTTCAGATAGAGTGGGAAGGAGAGAGAGGAAGAGAGAGAGAGAAATATTCACATGAAAGGAACACATCAAGTGGCTGCCTCCCACATGACCCAACCAGGACCGGGGACAAACTGCAATCAAGGTACGTGCCCTTAGCGGGAACTGAACCCAGGTCTCTCTGGACCGCAGGTCTACGCTCTAACCGCTGAGCCAAACTGACCAGGGCTGAAGTTCTTTTAAAACCTTTGTCACTGGAGGGCAGAGTTGCTGCGCCCTCTAGCTTCAGAAAGGAACAGGCTGTGCCCAACACTCAACACGGGTTCTAGGAACCCACTTCATTGACACTTTAATTAGAGGGTAATCACAGCTCCAGGTGCTGGGGAGGAGAAATGTGGGAAAAAGAGATCCACGAGGGCCTTACATTCCATGGAAGATGATACACACTAGGAGATAAGGAAACTCTGTGAGAAGGTAACCAATTGCCAAGTACTAAGGATATAAAATAAAGAAGGGCTGGGCAGAAGGGTGACAATTCAAAGTGGGAAGAGATCTGAGAAGTTCACCTTGGAGAAAAGGCATAGCTATTTCATGGAAGCAGATCCAACAGGTGACCACTAGGCCTTGACCATGGGCAGATGACAGCTCTCCTGTCCCTCCCCTCCCTTCCCTGCCTTTCTCCACAAGGGGACACTAAGGGCCAACACGAAGGGCTTGGTGGCAGGGGTACACCCTGAGTGGGCACTGTGCTGAGCTTGCTTGGGCTCAGAAGTCCACTCCCGGCCCCTTCACCCTCGTGGTCAAGGGGGGCACTTTTGAGCTGGACCAAGGGCCTCCTGAGCACCAGGCACACTTCTGTGCCAGCCCCATAGGGCAGGCTGGGGCTAGTCTCTCCAGTCCTGGGTGGGTGTTTGCAAGCCTCAAGTCTCCTTTCAGGGTGCCTAGCAGGTCATTAACAGCTGTTTTCAGAGTATCAGCCATAAACTCCAAAGATGCTGAACCTTCTCCCTGCTCAGGGCAATGAGAGAAGAACAACGCACTGATGCTGAGTTTGGTGACAGCTTCCAGAAGGGCTGAAATCCATTTACCATCCCCAAGGACTCCACTATCACATCTACCACATCAGTGGAAGGAATTGTTTTGCTTGGAAACTAAAAAACACTTGTTCTCTAGTGGCCTATTGACAACAGAAAGGTGATGCATCCCGTCGGCACACACAAGTTTATTTACAAAATACAATAAAGCTCTGGCCGGTTTGGCTCAGCGGTTAGAGTGTCAACCCACAGACCAGAGAGACCCAGGTTCGGTTTCCGCTAAGGGCACGTACCTCTGCTGCAGTTTGTCTGGGGCCTTGTGGGTGGCAACCACTCGATGTGTCTCTCTCACATCAATGTTTCCCTCTTACCCTCCCACTCTATCTGAGGATAAATGCAAAAAAAAGCAAAGAACAATGTACTTGGGTGAGGATAAAAAAATAACAATAATAAAATAAATAACAACAGAGCAATAAGAAGTAGGTGGGTCTCCTGGGGCAATTCTGCTCTCAGGGGACATTGGGTGATGTCTGGGGACATCTGTGGTTGTCATGACCGGGGGTGTGCCTGGCATAAGTGGGTGGAGACCCAGGATGCTGCTCAGCACCCTGCAGTGCTTAGGACAGCCCCACAGAGAGTGACCTGGCCCCAGCATCAGCAGTGCGTGATACAGAGTTAAATGGGGACAAGGACACAGCTATCTGATCAGTGAAGGCTCTTTCTGAGGACGTCTTTTCTCTTGTTCTGTCAACTGCGGCTATGACTCAATAGGCATCTAGGGTGCCCACCTGTGTCTGGTGAGAGGCCATGTGACACAAGGTGCTGGCCGAGGTCAGCCTGCCAGCTGAAGGTTTTCTTGGATTTCAAATAAGAAATCTGAAGTCAGGTACTAAACTAAAACATGTAAGGCTGGAAAACAAAAACTAAATTAGAGGGGCTATGCCTCCAGGATCCAAGATGTTCTCCTGTGAGGAAGGATCCATGACCCTGAGCTACTTTTTAATCACGTTATCGATGTCTCCTCTTGACAGAAAACCTGAATCTCCACCTGCAGGAAAGTGCTATGACCCTGGACAGGCTCCTGATCCACCTCAGTTTTATTAGAAGAAGTCTGTCCCTAATGCCAGTCTGGGACAAAATGAACAAAATATGTCACTCCCAGATTTCCCACTTTCTTTTTTTTTTTTTTTTTTTTTAATCCTCACCCGAGGATATTTTTCCATTTTTTGAACAGATAGAGTGGGAGGGAGAGAGAGGAAGGGGGAGAGAGAGAGAGAAACATCGACGTGAAGGGACACATCGAGTGGCTGCCACTCACACGACCAACCAGGGCCGGAAAAGTCAATTGATTTTTTTTTTTTTTTTTTTTTTATCCTCATCCGAGGACATTTTTCCATTTTTTGTACAGACAGAATGGGAGGGAGAGAGAGAGAGGGAAACATCGATGTGAAAGGGACACATCGAGTGGCTGCCACCCGCACGACCAACCAGGGCCGGAGACAAACTGCAACCAAGGTACATGCCCTTAGCGGGAACCGAACCCGGGTCTCTCCGGACCGCAGGTGGGCGCTCTAACCGCTGAGCCACACCGGCCAGGGCCCAGATTTCCCACTTTCTTTTGTTGTTGTTGTTGTTAATCATCACCCTCACCAAGAATATTTTTTCATTCATTTTTATTCTTCCTTTTTTTTATTTTTTAATCCTCACCTGAGGATATTTTTCCATTTTATCTTCAGATAGAGTGTGAGGGGGAGGGAGAGGAAGAGGGAGAGAGACACGGAGAGAGAAACATCAATGTGAGAAAGACACATCGATTGGTTGCCTCTCCCACAACCCCGACCAGGGCCAAGGACCAAACCACAACTGAGGTACATGCCCTTGGCCAGAATCAAACCTGCGACTCTTTGGTCCGTGGGCCAACACTCTAACCACTGAGCCAAACCGTCAGGGCTCCATTAATTTTATATAGAATGGAAGGGACGGAGGGAGAAAGAGAGAGACAAACATCAACTGGTTGCCTCCTGCACAACCCCAACCAGGAGCGATGAACCTGTAACCCAGGTACATGCCCTCAATTGGCAACCGAACCCACGACACTCTAACCACTGAGCTGAACTGGCCAGGGCCCAAATTTCCCACTTTCAAACATGAGCCTGAGGCTACTTTGTTTATACGCCATCCCTAACACACTGCTGGGTGAAGACATCTAAAGCTACTCAGCAGGGGACAGGCCTGAAAGCTGAGAGCAGCCCCTAGCTGCAGGACTGTCCTCAGAGACACACCTGGGCACCAAAGCACCTTGACCCCTCCCATAGGTCCCCACACTGTCCCACTGCCCCACCACCCCACACCATGTCCCTTCCTGGCTCCTCCTGCCCCAGTGCTTCCCAAGCGGCCCAGGGAGGCTCCCAGCCCTGGTATGTGGGGCAGAGGGACCCACTGGGCACAGTCCCCAGAGTATGTGCAGAGTGGCTGAGGAACATGACTAGGCTGCCCGACAGCCCCAGGGTGGGGCTCCTGCATACCCAAAGCCACTTCTAGCTGTGGTCCTGGCTCCGAGACCTGTGCCTGCTGAGCACCCACCCTGACCCAGCTCTAACGAGTCCCACAGAGCCTTTGAGGAAGGGACCAAATACAGCATCCATGAAAGAAGAAAACACTACACACACACACACACACACACACACACACACACAGAAGGGCAGTCAAGGCTGAAGTCAGGGTAGGGGAACAGCTGTGTCTGTGGAGCTGACTCAGGCCAGCAGAACATCATGTCCCTTCTCCAAAGAAGAAGCCCTGAGAGCCCTGAGAGCCAAGGGTCCCCATTTGAAAGAAATGGGAGGTGCCCAGGGATAAAGCCCCTGCTTCCCTGGATCCATCTGTCCCCAGAGTGGCAGGGAGACCACTGAGGGACTAGGGGCACCAAACACTGTCCCTGCTAGACAGGAGAAGGGACGTGTATGTGCATGTGTGTGGGTGTGACCCTAATCGCCAGGAGAGTCACACAGAACCCATGCCTGTACCCTCCATACTGCCTCCCCCTTGGCTGGGTTCAGAAAGAATTCCCGCATCCAAAGGTGACTATCAGTCATACAGAAAGCAGCAAATAAAACACCATTTAAGAGAGAAAAGGAACATGCAAAACAAAAGGCAGAAGGAAAACATACCCTGAAAATATATGCCTCACAAAATCCCCAGTCTGAACAGTTTTCCATCGATCCAAGTAAATTAGCAAAAAATTGGTCCACTGGAATTAGAAGCCTAAAGCAGAGGCATCCAGGTTCAAAGGAGAAGCACCAAGAGAGCGAAGGAGATGAGGAGACGGGAGAGAAGGCACAGGCGTGGTCACAGAGGTGAAGGAAGGGCTACAGAAATGACAGAGGTGAAAGGACAGCAGAGCAGCGCCAGGGGTGGGATTTAAGGTACTTCCAACAGAACAGTACAAGATACTAATTTGCTACAAGTTTCCTGACATAAAGGATGATGTGAATCCAAAGGCAGATGGGCTGGCTGTGTCCTGGGAAAAGTGGAACTAGGTCAATGACAGGAGACAAAAGAAGGGACCCCCCCCACAAAGGCACCAGGACTCTACTGGCCTCAGAATCTCCTACCACTGGGGACCTGCAATGGGCAGAGTCACCTGACAATTGACACTATGGATTGGTCAGTGGGCAGGAAAGCCCCAAATGGACGCTTCAGGATTTCTAGAGCCCTCTCACATATGAGATGACAAACTGCAAGAGAGTACGACACAGGCAGTGAGCACTGAAGCCATTTAAAGGGAGAACTGAAGCTAAAATGGCAGTGGCAGCTGTGGTTCCCAAACCAGATAAAAATGTTCTGTTTTGTCTACATTATCATGTATACAAGGAACAAAAATCATGCGGGAGCAGGTAGGTAGCGAATCTCAGCCTGTAGTCCAAATCTCACTAGCAGCCTGCTTTTGTACAACCTGCGAGCTAAGAATGTGTTGTTTTGTTTTGGCTAGTGTTTGTTTTTTCACTTTTAAATGGTTGGAAACATTTTTTAAAAGGAGAATATTTCGGGACAAGTAAAAGTTCTGTGAAATTCACGTTTCAGTGTCCATCGAGTGTCACTAGTACAAAGCATGTTGTTATGGGTCATCTAAGGTGGCAGATCTAAGGTAGCAGAGCTAAGTGGTGGCAACAGACACTGCCCTGCCCTCAAAGCTGAAAATACTATCTGGCTCTTTGTAGAAAAGATTTACCAACCTCCTGGTTTAAGGAACAGAGAACCAGGAATCTTAGATAAAGTTATAATCATCCAGGCAGCAACCAGAAGAACACTAAGCAAATAGTTTACAAACTTTCCCAATCATTAGGTGAGCAATGCCACAAACAGGTTCACACAAACTTGAAGAAACACAGCCATGCCCAGCAGGTGGCTCAGTTGGTTAGAGTGTCAGCCCATACACCAAAAGGTTGTGGGTTCGATTCCTGGTCGGGCACATACCTAGGTTGCAGTTCAACTCCAGGTCAGAGTATGTACAGGAAACAACCAACTGATGTTTCTCTCTCACACTGATGTTTCCTTCTCTCTCCCCCCTACTTCCTCTCTTAAATCAATAAAAAACATATCCTCGGGTGAGGATTAAAAAGAAAAAAGAAACACAGCTATTTACATTAAAAAGAAACACAGGGAGAGTTTGTATGTCTGTCTGCCTTCACACATGCACACATATGTACATGTATGTGTATAATATGCGAAAGAAAGAGACAGGATATTGGTAACCATGTTGCTCCAGGAACAGGAGCTGGGAGATGGGAGGAAGAAGAGACTCACTAGTCACTCTCCCCTCTCGTACTGTTTGAATTTGCCTCCCATGTGCATACTGTCTCAAAAAAAACTTGTTTCACCAGGAATGTAAAGGCAAAAACTCAGGCCTTCCTGGCATCAACTGCCTGGAAGCCTTCCCAGACTCTTGATCTCCTCTCCCCCAGGCGGAGTGAGACTTGCGGCCGGGATGCCCTGGGCGGCCACTGCCTGCTGGACTGGGCTCAGTACAGCACTGCATCTCCACCCAGCCTGCCAACTCCTACAGGGCCAGGGGCAGTACGAATGGTTTATGAATTCCAGTGCCTGGCACAGGGAAAGAACCCCCTGTTTGTAGATAAATGAGGTCAAAATGGTTCAGTGAACAGGTTAATGAGTGTGCCACTTTCAGACATGGACACAAACTGAAAAGCTGCACATGCGCAGGATGTCACCCACCTTGGCCAGGCCTGCCCGGTGGGCTCCCTGGGACTCGATGTAGGCCACGTATTTATTGAAGTCCTTAAATTCTTCCATGGTTGGGCGAAATGTCATGATTTTACAACTTGGGTTCTGGGCCCCATGATCCTCAGACCCCATGGCTGCAGTTGAGACACCGCCACACCTGCAAGGGAAGACAGAGAACGTGAGCATGGCGACACTGCCATCAGCGGGTGCTCTGCTCCCTTAGACCACACTAAAGGTACCCAAGGCTCCAGGAAGCAATGAGGGGCAGAGCGGAGACTGGGAGCTGACTCCCTTGCCCTGTTCTGGCACAAAAGACCAAAATGACTTCAACTAATTAAAAACAGAGGCGTCCTAGTTCTAAACGCAAACGTGAAATTGGAAGCCAGAGCACTGAGATTAAGCTGGGAGCCCTAGGAAATAAAAGTTTTTCATATCAGGGACTCAAATCAATGCATGTCCTTTGGAGCTGGACACGCAGAGAGACAGCATCATGCAGCGGGTTCTGCAAGTTAAATGAGGTTGTGTGTGAGTCTGCCTTCTTTTGAGGTGCAAGCCTGCAAAGATAGAACAATAACTCCAGGCGGGGCCCACCCTGAGAAGCATGTGGGTCACTTCAGGACTTGCCTGGCTGCTGTCAGCAAACCCAGGCCGAGGAAGGCGGAAGGCCTGGCCAGAATGGCTTGTTTCCTGCAATCAGAGCTGCTCCAAAGCCCTTGGTTGTAACCGCAGCTGGACATTTCGGCACATAAAGGGAGACCGTGGCTGGGATGTGAGCTGTAAGATTCACTGCAGATGCCTTAAGATACTTGGGAACCAGGACTCCTCTCCGGGAGGAGGATGCATGCTGCATTGACCCCTTCCTCTCTCTGGAGTTAAGGGGTCCCAGTGGAGCTGTCAGTGGCCCACCAAGGAAGGGGTTTGGTGTCAGACTCTGGGAAGAGACCCTATTGGCTGATTAAATTCTCCTGGCTCCAAAAGACTAGACTCCCTCCAGGATTTAAAAAAGTCAGAATCCAAGTGCACACAGACCTGAGAACCTGGAGGACAATTTAACCAAGTTCACCTCACCCCACCCCAAAGTGAGGTAGGGAATGAGAAATCCAGGAAGCCCAATGGTCCCAGAAAAGGGAGCCACCCCCAAAAAATGCAGCCACAGGCTTTTAAAAGGCGTGCCTTGCAGTGGGCACTAGAGGGCAGCACAAGCCCAGGAATTGCCACTGAGGTAGTGAGTTTCCCCTGGGGAGGATCTGGAGGCCCCAGGCTCACAGATACCCTGTCCTGGCCTTGCCCCATCCCATGCCTTGGGGCACAGGAGGCTGGGCTAGGGGTACAACAGCTGAAGCCTCCCTCCGAGTGTCACACTCTCACTGCATTGCTGGTGAGGGCCCAAGGATCCTGACATACATGGGGCGGGGTGGGGGTGTAGTCACTGCTTCACTGCTGTGTCCACAATAAGTCTCAAGGTTTCTCAAGGGGCAGCCACACAGCTGAAGTGTGCATAGCCTGTGATAACCAGGTCATAAGCCTATGATAACATGTGACAGCAGCTCTGGGTGGGATCAAAGGGAACCACGAAGAATACATGGTTTATAAAAGGAAAAGGGTTGTCACAATCCCCACTCTGGCGCAGTAGGCACCAGAAAACCCCAGCTTCAGCCAGGCTGCCCCCACTGCAGCTGTGACCAGGCCTTAAGACTGATCACCATGCCATCCCAGGTGGCCCCTTGCCTGCAGCGGGGACCAAGGACCTGAATCCCACCTGGGACCCCCACTCGCCCCACCTGAGCCCCAAGCCTTCCTGCCCTCTCCCCTCCAGCCCACATGCAGCCACAAAGGGCTCCCTGTGGGCCTTCACTGCACAGCGGCAGACAGGACAGCATGTCTGTCCTGGAGGGACAGACCTTGACCCCAATACTATTGTGAACATCAGTGTGGACCTGAGCTGTGCTAACGGCTGTGGAGGGAGACAAAGGAGGGTTCGAAGTGGATGGAGAGGGCTCCATGGGCCACGACCTCAAATGAGACACCAAAGCGTGAGACCTAGCTGTCCTTCCTTATGATCCCACCACCTGAGCCACCAACTCCTGTCCATCCCACCTCGTCACCCTTCAAGATTCCCCATACCACTGGGAGGCTCAGGGCCTCTGCCTGTCAGAGAATGGTCTCTGAAGGGGGCCCCGCCACCCACCCATATCACATGGACCATCAAATTCATCCTCTGAGGCCTGCTGCCAGAAGTGATGGACCCAGTCTCAGCCCCTGGTGCCAAGCCTTCGATGACCAGGCAAATGCCCAGAAACTAGTTCCTCAGTCTGCCATGATGGCCAGTGCCCCGACCTGGAGGCAGTGGACACATCAGCACTTCACAGGTCCCCAGCCCTATTCTATGTACTTCACATGGGTGACTCGTCCACTCCACACACAATAAGCCCATTTTTCATAGTACACTTGAGGACATAAGGCCCCATGAGGAGAAGTCACATGCCTAGGCCACATGGCAGGTAGGTGGCAGGGCCAGATGCCCAGCCAGGCTCTGCTGAGACAGCCAGTCTCCCACCTCTTTCCCACCCTGCTGAATGACGGGTGCCAGGACCTACCCACACCCAACAGCTCTCATGTTTGGCTCGGCTGGTCCTGGCCAGCTGGCTGCCTCTCCTCTGAAGCTGGCTCCCAAAGGGCCTACAGCCCCTTGCAGAGGCTGCCTCCCACCTGTCCACCCAAACACCGGGCTCCATTGCTGGGAGGTAACGAAGTATGCCGGTTTCCTCCCCAAGACAAGGCAGAGCAGGGGCAGCCCCAGCGCCCTGCCCACACGAGCTCTCCCTCATGTCAAAAATCATGACACAGAAACGAGTTTTCCATCCAGAAGATAAAAAAGCAGATGATGGAATAGTAGGTAGAATATTCTGCATATGCACACTGGCAAGAGACGTTCCACTCCAACCACCATCATCCAGATTCAGCTCCGTGGTAAATTCTATAGGAGTCCTCTCTCTCTCTCTCTCTCTCTCTCTCTCTCTCTCTCTCTCTCTCTCTCGTTTGTTAATCTTCACCCAAGGATATTTTTCCCATTGATTTTTAAAGAGAGTAAAAGGAAGGGAGGAGGAGAGATATAGAGAGAGAAACATCGATTTGAGAGAGACACAATGATTGGTTACCTCCTGCACGCACCCTAATCGGGTCCAGGAATTAAAGGGTCCACAACCCTTCAGTGCATGGGCTGATGCTCTAACCACTGAGTCACACTTGCCATGGCAGCATTTTTTTTCTCTCTTATTCATGCCTTTTGAAATGTAGTTTTTAAGTAGGTAAATATAAGGAAGAAGATTAAAACAGTTTGTAATCCCAACACTCCATAACCCTTGACATATTTTTTTGAACGAGGGCAAATAAAAATCATATGTGTACATATTTAAGAAATAAAAAAAGGAATTTGACTGGACGCCTGCCCTGGGCCAATCTTCAGGTTTACTGGAAACATAGGGGGAGGGAACAGAGAACCAAGTGGGAGCTCCCAAGGAGGGAGCTCACAAACAGTCCAGAAAGAGCAACATGCTCTTTACCAGACAGTACCATGCCAAAAAGCAGGGCTCTAGCAACGCAACAATACAGAGACAAACAGCACAATTAAAAAATGGGCCAAGACCTAGCCCTGTCTGGTTTGGCTCAGTGGTTGGAGCGTCAGTCCATGGACCAATGAGTCTTGGGTTCGATTCCGGTCAGGGGCACGTACCTTGGTTGCGGTTCGTGCCTGGCCCTGGTTGGGGTCCTACGGGAGGCAGTCGGTCAATGTGTCCCTCTCACATCGATGTTTCTCTCTCTCCCTCCCTCCCACTCTATCTGAAAATAAATAAAAAAATATCCTCGGGTAAGGATTAAAGAAAAAAAAATTAGGCCAAACCCTGGCTGGTTTTCTCAGTGGTTAGAGCACTGGCCCACGAACCAGAGAGTCTTAGGTTTAATTCCCGGTCAGGGGGCATGTACCTGGGTTGCAGGTTCCAGCCCCGGCCCTGGTCCGGGGTCATGTAGGAGGCAACCAATTAATGTGTCTCTCTCACATCAATGTTTCTCTCCTTCCCTCCTTCCCTCCCTCCTTCCTTCTTTCCTTCCTTTCTTCCTTCCCTCCTCTTTCTCCCCCCCCCCCTTCTACTCTGTCTAAAAATTAATGGAAAAGCCCTGGCTGGTTAAGCTCAGTGGTTAGAGTGTGGGCCCAGGGACCAATGAGTCTCAGGTTCAATCGCAGTCAAAGGGATGTACCTCGGTTGCAGTTCAGTACCCAGCCCTGGTGGGGGTTGTGCAGGAGACAACCAATTGATCTCTCTCTCTCGCATCAATGTTTCTCTCTCTCTCTCTCACACACACTCACTCTCTCTCTCTCTATCTGAGGACACGGGGAGAAATATCCTCAGGTGAGGATTTTAAAAATTTTAAAAATCAATGGAAAAATCAGGTGAGGATTAATAAAAAACAGAAAGAAAAAAAGTGGACCTCGTATAGCATCAGACTGCAGACCAAAGGGTCTCAGGTTTGATTCCCAAGGGCAAATACCTAGGCTGCAGGTTCAATCTCTGGCGCTGGTAAGGGAGGATTCAGGAGGCAATTAATCAATGTCGCTCTCCCACACATCAATGTTTCTCTCTCTCTCTCTCTCTGTCTCTCTCTCTCTCTCCCTGCCCCCTTCCCTCCCTTTCCTCTCTAAAACGAGACTGGAAAACATATCCCAGGTGAGGATTAACAACAAAAAAAGTGAGCCAAGGACTTGAGTAGATATTTCTCCAAAGAAGATACACAAAAGGTCAGCAAGCACATGAAAAGGAGCTGAACATGTTAGCCAGCATGGAAATGTAAATCAAAACCACAGTGAGACACTACTCACCCCCACTAGAATGGCTAGATAAGAAAAACAGACAATAACATGTTGATGAGGATGTGGAGAAATTAGAACCCTGATAGCCTGCAGGTGGGAATATTAAGATGGTAGAGCCGCTGTGGAAAAGAGTTTGGTGGTTTAGACAAGACTGTGATCAGCAGAACAATACACCACCACCGCCATGCCAAGACATCCACATCCTAATCCAGGCTGTGACTATGCTCCCTCCCATGGCAAAAGGAATTTTGCAGATGGATTAAGTTAAGGACCCTGAGATGGGGATAATCCTGGATTCCTCAGGGGGCCCAGTGTCATCACAAGGGTCCTTATAAGAGGGACAGAGACGGAGACTGGATGACAGAGCAATGAAGGCAGAGGCTGAAGTGATTCGAGGAAAGGGCCTCAAGGAAAGGAAAGCAGGCAGTCCCTTAAAGCTGAAAAAAACTCAGATCAATTCTCCCCTGAAGACTCCAGAAGGAGCGGCCCTGCCAACACCTTGATTTTAGCTCCATAAGACTCACTCCAGACTTCGGACTCTCAGAATTGTCAGAGAATGAGTATGGGTTGTTTGTAGTCACCAGGTTTATGGTCACGTTTCAGCAGCTGTGGGACATGCATACAGGATCACTTTTCCTGAAAAGTGGTTTGGGGTTTTCAATACATTCAAGAAGGCGAAGTTCTAGTCCACACCTGGCCCTAATTAGCCTTGTGGCCTGCGTCCGAGGTCAACACTGAACATGAGGCGGCCTTTCTAGGGCCATTGGGAGCAGCCAACGTGGCAGGGAGTAAACAGGACTGTTCTCCTCCACCCTGTCACCTCCACCCCATGGGTGTGAGCCACAAGGCGATTAGCTTGTTTCCTCTCTTCTTACCAGTGACCACCTGAGACCACCATCAGAGGCCACCACTTTAAAACCCTCTTTCCCCGCCCTGGCCGGTTTGGTTCAGTGGTTAGAGCGTCGGCCTGCGGTCCTGAGAGACCCGGGTTCGGTTCCCGCTAAGGGCGCGTACCTCGGTTGCAGTTTGTCCCCGGCCCTGTCAGTTGTGCGGGTGGCAGCCACTCGATGTGTTCCTTTCACATCGATGTTTCTCTCTCTCTCTCTGTTCCTCTCTCTCCTTCCCACTCTACCTGAACAAAAAATGGAAAAATGTCCTCGGGTGAGGATAAAAAATAAAAATTAAAAAAAATAAATAAATAAAACCCTCTTTCCCACCTGGCTGGTGTGGCTCAAGGGATTGAGCATTGTCCCATGGACTGAGAGGTCCTGGTTAGATTCCTGGTCAGGGCACATGCCCGGGTTGCAGGCTTGATCCCCAGTGGGGCACGTGCAGGAGGCAGCCGATCAATGTATCTCTCTCACAATGATGTTTCTATCTCTCTTGCCCTTCCTCTCCCTTTAAAATCAATAAAAACATATTTAAAACATGAAACATAAAAATTAATAAATAAAACCCTCTGTCCCTCCCTGGCCAGTTTGGCTCAGCAGTTAGAACATCAGCCCACAGACCAAAGAATTGTGGGTTCGATTCTGGTCAAGGGCACATACCTCAGTTGTAGTTCGGTTCCCAGCCCTGGTTGGGGTAATGCGGGAGGGCAACCAATGGTGTCTCTCTCACATCGATGCTTCTCTCTCTCTCTCTCTCTCTCTCTCTCTCTCTCTCTCTCTCCCTCCCACTCTGTCTGAAAAACATAAATGGAAAAATATCCTCGGATGAGGGTTAAAATAAATAAATGAATAAAACTCTCTGTCCTCTGCCCCTGGTTTATTAGAAAAGTATAGGAGAAGGTGGACAGCCTGGAGTTGAAACCCAGAAGCAGCAGGGCAATGGGAGTCTTTCAAATGCAAATAAAAGAAATTTCCAGCCCAGGCCAGCGGTTAGAGTGTCAGCCCATGGACCAAAGGGTCTCAGGTTCAATTCCCGGTCAAGGGCACATACCTGGGTTGCAGGTTCAATCCCCAGCCCCAGTCGGGGTCGTGCAGGAGGCAACCAATCGATGTGTCTCTCTCACACCAATGTTTGTCTCTCTCTCTCTCCTCCCCTACCCCCCTCCCTTCCACTCTGTCTAAAAATCAATGGAAAAATAACTTCAGATGAGGATTAACCAAAAAAAAAGGAATCTTCCATTTTAAATATCCCAACCCTGGCTGTGACTAGTCACCACCTTCTGCAAGTTGTGTGGGTGAAGTGGGGTGAATAGGGCCTTCTGAGAGCCCAGAAGCAGTATCCCGCGTGATCCACATGACACACACAGGGCAGCATGTCCTAGGCAACTCCAGCATCAACCAAAACATACAGTGGCTCTAGAAGTGAGGGCCAGGCATTCAGATGCTGAAGGGTGAGAGTGCAAACAGGGAGCGTGCGGAATAGAGAAGAGACATCCAGTAGAGCCCCTTCCAGAGGGTTCTAGGCTCCTCTAAGGGCATGTAGACCCTGGAAACCCCAGGAATTCAGAACTAAATGGGGCCACCTTTTCCCCCCAGCATGCAGGCCTCACAGCTGCCTAGGTTGGCTGTGTCTTCGGTGCCATGGTCTTGCACTTACTTGAAAGTTCCTGGTATGTTCTGATGGCGAGGCTACAATGAGAGATGCTCTAGCAAGTGGCTTGGATTTTTGTCAGGTTCCAGCAACGGTGATGGTTTCTAAAATGCACGAAGTAAAAGCACAATTAACTAAATTTATCACATGCTTAAGTCTAAATTCCACATTATACTCCTAACAGTGGCATACAGCCCAAGGACACTCTTGCCTTTATTCAGATGTTTCCAAATCCTTGCCACTTTGCAGGAACGCAAAAATTCGTTTTAAGTTCATCTTCCACAAATCAGTAGCTGAGGAAGCGAAAACCTCCGTGAACAAATTAAACCAGAGAAGCTTCTAAAACCATTAAGGTACAGGCAGCTTCTGAGAGGTTTACAACAACTTCTGCTTCCTGTGAACCTCTACAGCCAGGCAAAGTGCCCCTCCAAGGAGAAAACTCACATGGACAACACCGCATGGTGACCACCATCTGCACCCCACGAGGTGCTTAGAGGGAGAGCACACAGAGAAAATATGGCGGGGGCTGTGCAACCCCACCAAGAGTAGAGTCCCAACCTAGAAATTTACAGTTGGGTAGAGACACTTCAGTACTTGTTGAGTGGATACAGCATGAGACTCTAAACTTGGCCCCAGGATTTTTGACAATCTGGATTACAGATACCCTGACTCACCAGCCCTCCCACCCACATCTCCCCACAGCTCTCCAGATAACATGAACCCCAACGGCACAGGGTCTAGCAGATGTTCCCTGCCTCTGGGCCTTTGCACATGCTGTCCGAGACCCGAGCATCCCGGTGGGCCCAATGTCCCAGAAAGGGCAACTTGCCCCTTGGGACCCTGGCTGAACTCAATCCCACATCCTTTCTCTAATTCACCAAGAGTTTTAAATAACACAGGTTTCACCAACACTCTTAGAGCAGACAATATACATTGCCATTTTAAATCTTATTTTAAGCTGGTTTTTAAGATTACTGGGCACAACCCATTTTAGTGATTTCACTGTCTTTTAACAGGTGACAAGCCCTGGTTCAAAGGCCACATGAAGCTGTGAAACTTGTGGACCTCACACTGCACACATCTGCCTCTGGACTCTCCCAAGGCTCCTAGGCCTCTCCCACCTGCGTGGATTAAGGCTGCCCCGCTCCACAGCCCTGCCAGCACCTGACATCGCCAGAGCTGAAGTCAGAGGATCCGATTACTGTGAAATCTCTCCATGTACCTGTAGCTGGCAGAATAACAGCCACCAAGGATGTCCACGTCTGAATCCCCACAACCTGTGGCAATGTTCCCTTCTGGGTCAAAAGGGACTTTGCAGATGGGATTAAGTGAGGGATCTTGAGATGGAGAGAGTATCCTGGATTATCAGGTGGGCTCTGTCATCACAAAGGTCCGTATAAGAGGGAGGCAGGAGGGTCAGAGTCAGAGATGTGATCACGGAAGTGGAGGTCAGAATGATGTACTATGAAGACAGAGGAAGAGGCCATAAGGCAGAGTGCAAGTGCCTGTAGAAGCTAGAAATGACAAAGAACAGACACCACCCCCCAAGAGCCTCCAGAAGGAACCAGCCTTGACCACACCTTGATCTTAGCCCTGTGAGACCATGTCAGACTTCCAGCACCCAGAACTGAGATAAGAAACACGTGTTGCCCTGGCCGGTTTGGCTCAGCGGTTAGAGCGTTGGTCCCGCGGACCAGAGAGTTCTGGGTTCGGTTCCCACTGGGGGTGCGTACCTCAGTTGCAGTTTGTCCCCATCCCCATGGGGTTGTGTGGTTGGCAGCCAGTCGATGTGTCTCTCTTGCATAGACGTTTCTCTCTCTCTTCCTTCCTCTCTCCTTCCCGTTCTGTCTGAAGATAAATGCAAAAATGTCCTCGGGTGAGAATTTTAAAAAAGTTAAAGAAAAAAGAAACGTGTTAAGTCACTAAGTCTGTGGTCATCTGTCAGGGCAACAAAGGAGACTAATGCTCCAGCTTCGATGTGCATTTTTCTGATCACAGAGGAGGTGAGGGGTCTTTTCACTTCCACTGACGACACAGGCCTCTCTGCTATGAACTACCAGCCCCCATCTCTCATCCATGTCTCAATGGGATCACATGTCTCCCTTGCCACTTGTAACTGTCTCTTAGCATGCTGTCTCCCTTGCTGGACATAAGCTGCCCCTACCAGCATATAGTCTGAAAGGCAGAGAAGGCACCTGTGGTTCTCAGCCGGACAGAACTCAATCTGCTGCTGCCCATGGCTGCTGGGCCACTGACACTGTGGGTTCTTCTGCTTCCACACTTAGGGAGCCAAAAGCACCAACCCCCAAGCCAGGAGGCTAGAAGCTCCAGGGCTGAGGTCAAGGCCCAGTTTTTAGGCCACAGGATGAGGCGAACCCTCTATCCACCCTGACCTATGTCTACAAAGGGATGAAGATCCAGGCTACCCCACATCTGCTCCTCTGAAGGGTCCCCTGCAGGCTCTGGGACGCAGACGCCTGGCCTAAGACCCAGCCACAGACCCGCTGGGCACAAGGCAGCCAGGGTTGAGGGATCAGAGGACCCTTATGTGTACACTGCGTAGAGTGACTTCCTTCCAAAAGGCGGAGTGACTTGACAGTGGAGAAACCTGGCAAACACTACTAAGTCAGGGGATCAAGGTTAACATTAACAGTAATAAGTCATGGTGACATATGACCCTAGATATGATAGGATGAGAAGGGCCTTTTACCTCTTGGATCTTCCTCCCTGAACACATCACCCCAGTCTAACCATGAGAAAAACATAAGACAAACCTCGATTTAGAAACTTCCTACAAAATCCCTGACCAATACTCTTCAAAAATACCAAAGTCACCAAAAAAATAAAGTCACCAGAAAAATCTGAAAAATGGTCACAGCCTAGAGGAGCCTAAGGAGACGTGACAACTGAATGTCATGTGGGATGCTGAATAAGGGTCCTGGGACACAGAAAGGATGTTAGGGAAAACTGAGGAAATCTAAATATAGTAAGGACTTTAATTAATAAGAATATGTTTATTAATTTTGACAAATATACCAGCCTAATGCAAGATGTTCATAATAAGGAAACTGGGGTGGGGAAGAATTGTTTAGGAGACCTCTTTCTGCTTAATTTCTCTATAAATCTAAACTGTTTAAAAAATAAAGTAATTTTTAAAAAGAAAAACAAATCCAAAAGGCCCAAGCAGTCTGGCTCTTATGCCTCCTGTGTCCAGGCTAGCCCAGGCCAGCTGCTGACCCTGCTGTGGGTCCTGGGAAATCTGGGGCACTAAGAATAGAACTCAAGAGGGAGTCCAGTTGCAGCCAGGTAAGAGCCTGCAGTGGTGACCCAAGGCATCAGACACCAATGCCCCTAGAAAAGCGCAGTCTGACCATTTCTCCTTTGAAAAGGCACAGTCTGACTAGATGACACTGTTATTCCGACATGCCCACCCCAAGCCCACAGATGCTGACAGAAGCAACAGGCACAGAGGCTTACTTCTCCACCCTCTCTGCAAAGGCCAAGCAGGTGGGGCTGAAAAGGAAAAGAAGTAGAAACCAGACAAAGAGCCAGCTATGCCTGAACACTGAGGCACCAGAAACTGCCAATGACTAGTGGCATCTCTGGGACTACACAGCTTGGCCTCCACATCTCAGGAGGGGGTACCTGGGCCCCCTGGTCCTATCAGTTCTCAGCTGCCCAAGGCTGACCCCTTGGGGTGGGCCCAGAAGCTAGACCCACACCAGGCCACACCACCCATTCTTGCCCTAGAGCTAGGCCTGAGCTCCAAGAGGTGGAGAACTGACTGGGCACCTATGGACCAGAGAGGACAGGAGCCATCACCTATATACCTAAGAGGGCTCAACCCCTGAATCTGTCTACTCCTCCTACGCCACAAGCCCCAAGTGGCCCCCAAAAGGGGCCAGGTGTCTTCTGCTGCCTGCTAAAGCCTAAAGGATCTCTGTGCCCATTACAGGGCGAGGAGGCCACCCAAAGCCTCAGAAGGACCCACTGACTTGAACACTCTATTGTCTGATCAGTATGAACTCATAGGATTTTGAAATATATATATCTACATATAGATGGACAGATATAAATATAGAGGGGCACAAATGCATGCACAGGTCGGTATTCACATCTCCAAGTTCTGTCAACTGACAGACCTGGGAAGCCCTGACAGCCCCAGCACTGAAAGTAATACCCAGTGGCTAGCCCTGGCCAGTGTGGCTCAGTGGTCAGAGTGTCGGTCCACATAATGAAGGGTCATAGGTTCGATTCCCGATCAAGGGCACATACTGGGTTGCAGGTTTGATCCTGGCCATGGTCAGGGTGCATGCAGAAGGCAACCAATAGATATGTCTCTCTCACATTGATGTTTCTCTCTCTCCCTCCCCTCCCTTCCACTCTCTCTAAAAAAAATCAATGGAAAAAATATCCTTGGGTGAGGATTAACAACAACAACAAAAAAACCCAGTAGCCAGATGACAGATTTTCAATATCATTCTCCAACATAGGGAACCACTCTCCTTGGAGAAGTGGTCACTCCAGGGTTGAGGTTGGGAACATACAAGATGAGCCTGAGCATCTTGTGGGGACAAGGAGGAAGGAAGCCCTCACTAGAGGATAAGGACACGAAGGAAGGGCATGGAAGCCCAGCAGGAAGGACAAGGGGTGCCCAGTGACCAAAGCAAGGGCAACATGATAGCGATGTCCTGGATTATAACCCACAGATAAATAAAAATATGCAAAAGTCTTTACCAGTATAAAATTTAAAAGAGAAAACGAACAGCCCTCTTCTACAAAAGAATTCTAATTCATAAATGGAGAAGGACTGAGGGTGATAAGCGTCGCCATGAGAAGGCCAGAGTATAACTGCTGTATATAACTGTTGTCGATATGGAATCAACAGGCAGAAGTATGAGGAGAAACGGGGTGTTGGCAGTGTCTCAAAATCCCAAAGTGACCTTCCAGTGGAGATTCCTGGATGGCACCGCCTTATTACCCAAGGGATCAAGACTGACACCACCAGCGATGGGACATTGATATGCTGCAAGGAGAAGGACACAACATCACCCAGGACAGCCTTCCACAAAATACATAACCTCCATCTAATCATGAGGAAGCACTGAACAAAGCTGAGGGACATTCTACAAAATCCCTGACCAGTGCTCTCCAAAAGTATCAAGTTCGTGACAGATAAGGAAAGACTGAGAACTAGTCCCGGCCCAGAAAAGCCTGAGGAGACATGACAACTAAATGTGACTTGGCGTCCAGGATGGAGCCCTGGGGCAGAAAAGGGACATGAGTGGGACAACTGGTGAAGTCCTAATAAAGTCCATGGTTTGGTAAATACTATTCCTCCGTGTTTCTTGCTTATTTAGTTTAAATCATTCTCCTGTGGTTAAGAGCTAACATTCGGAAAGGTGGCTGAAAGGTACACAGGAAATCTATGTACTGTCTTTGCAACATTTCAATGTTTAAAATTACTTCAAAATAAAAAGTCAAAAAATAAAAAGCCTTTACTTCTGTCCTCTGAACCTTACTGCATGGCAGGTTTCAGCTGGAAGAGGAGAGTCTGGCTGTAAAAATATCCAAACTGATAAGAAAAGGCAAGCTGACACCACACTGCAATCCAGTTTCAGGACCCATTTAAGATCCAACCTGCTGAACGCGGTTTCAGATTCTTTCAGTCTGAAAGAACTAAAAAACTGACATTTTTCAGCAGCCTCTGCATTCTAGGCATAGAGCCTCTTATTTACTAATATTTCACCAAATCCTCCATGTCTGTGAGGATTCAAAGAAGTTGCAAAGGCTCAGTTAGGGAAGTGGTGGGCATCCCAGGTTGTTGGATCCCAACTAAGAAGGCTCTAGTCTCATTACATGGAACTGTAAGAACCACATCACATTTTTCCTTAACATCCACCCCCAGCTTAGACATTACTCAGGTTGGCAAAGCTACAGTAATCAAGACAGGTGGTACTGCATAAAGATGAACATAGCGATCAATGAAAGAAGAGTTGACAGTCTAGAAATAAACCCGCACATTTAAAGCTGGTTCATTTTCCATGAGGTTGCCAAGACCATCCAATGCAGAAAGAACAGTCATTTCAACAGTTGCCCTGGACAAGCACATACAAAAGAATGAAGATGGACCCCTACCTCACACCACAGACAAAAAATTAACTCAAATGAATCGTAGATCTAAGTGTAAATGCTAAAATAATAAAAATCTTAGAAGAAAACACATGAATGAATCTTTGTGACCTTGGATTAGGGGATAGTTTCTAGACACACAACCGAAAGCACAAGAAGCAAAAGATAAAATTGATTGGACTTTGATCTTCAAAGGACTCGATCAAGAAAGTGAAGGCCCGCCCTGGCCGGTTTGGCTCAGCGGTTGGAGTGTCGGCCTGCGGTCCAGAGAGACCCGGGTTCGGTTCCCGCTAAGGGCACGTACCTCGGTTGCAGTTTGTCCCCGGCCCTGGTTGGTCGTGCGGGTGGCAGCCACTCGATGTGTCCCTTCACATCGATGTTTCTCTCTC